TTTTTTGATTTATTGTAGAGATGAGGTCTCGCCAAGTTGCCCAGGCGGGTCACGAACCCCAATTCCTTTTGACTGTTGGGTTCCAAGGCATCACAGAAGACTTCCTATTGGCGGACTCCCGGGATTACTCCTGATCTCCCAGGGAATCATGGGAGAAGACTCTTAGGATCACTCTGGTCCTCCCCAGAAGGAAGCATGGAAGGGTCAGCCTTCTGGCGACTCCTCAGAAATCCCCTTCAGGCTCCAAGACTTGGCCCACCCCCCTCAGCCCTCCTGAAGCCAGGCTCCAGCAGACCGTCCCTGAAGTTCCATCTCTCCCTTTCTCCCCACCCTGGCGACAGAGCTCTCCCCCAAGCTAGCCCTTTGGCAGGAACTGGAGTCTTGGCCTCTAGTCTGGAGACTCAGGAGGAAATACCAGGGCAAAAGGCCTCTCCAGGGCTCCTCAGAGATAGGCGAGGGGTCCCTGAGGCTGAGGCAGCTTCAAGAAAGGTTTAAAAATCATTCTCACGCTGTCCCTAAGACTCCCCTTCCAGTTGGGGAAAGAGGGAAATGGAGAGACAGGGATAGTGGGAGGAGGGAGGGAACAGAATCCAGACTCCAGACAACACTGGGGTCAATACATTCCTACTTTAGGAGGCTGAGGCATGAGGATCGCCTGAGGCTAGGAGTTCGAGACCAGCCTGGGCAAAATAGCAAGACTCTGTCTCTACAAAATCTTTTTTAAAAAAATAAGTTTTGGGCCAGGCTCAGTGGCTCAGCCCGTAATCCCAGCACTTTGGGAGGCCGAGGTGAGTGGACTGCCTGAGTCCATGGGTTCGAGACCCGCCTGGGCAACTTGGTGAGACCTCATCTCTACAATAAATTAAAAAAAAATTAGCCAGGTATGGTAGCACATGCCTGTAGTGCCAGCTACTTGGAAGGTTGAGGCGGAAGGATCGCCGGAACCCAGCAGGGCAAGGCTGCGGTGGCCGGGAGCGTGCCACTGCACTCCAGTCTAGGTGACAGAGTGAGACTTCAACTCACAAAAAGAAAAAAAAAATTTTGACCCAGCTCAGTGCTCAGCCTGTAATCCCAGTACTTTGGGAGGCCGAGGGCAGTGGATTGCTTGAGCCCACGGGTTCGAGACCTGCCTGGGCAACTTGGCGAGACCTTGTCTCTACAATAAACTTAAAAAAACTAGCAGGCGAGCCGGGCTCAGTGGCTCAGCCTGTAATCCCGCGCCTTGAGAGGCTGAGGTGAGTGGATTGCCTGAGCCCACGGGTTTGAGACCCGCTTAGGAAACTTGGCGAGCCCTCATCTCTACAATAAATCAAAAAATTAGCCGGGCGTGGTAGTGCGCGCCTGTAGTTCCGGCAACTTGGAAGGCTGAGGCGGAAGGATCGCCGGAGCCCAGCAGGTCGAGGCTGCGGTGGCCGGGAGCATGCCACTGCACTCCAGTCTGGGAGACGGAATGAGACTCCAACTCAAAAAATAATAATAATAAATAAATAGATAGATAAATAAATTTCTACTGGCTGTATGAGTTTGTGTCAAGTCACTTAATTTCTCTGGGGCTCAGTTTCCTCCGGAAAAATGAGAGTCATCCTTGGACCCTACCTGGGAATTTAAGCATTCAATCACTCACTCCTCAAAAGTGCTAAGTAATGAACTTAGTCTGCCTGGGCTGTTAAGTGACCAGAGGTGGGAAAGTTGAACTTGAGGTGTGTAAAAAGAAAGTGATCAGGCAGAATGCAAGCCAGGACTGTGCCACGGGGTGAGCCCTGGCACAATCTAAGGAACGAACCGCTACTGAATGTTGTTCAGTAACAGTGGGCACTTCCTGAGTACTGAATCTGTAGCAAGCCAAGGGGTGAGCACTCTGTCTAAATCAGGCTCTCCCAAAGCATGGTCCCAAACAATACAGCAGCATCACGTGGGCCCTTGAGATAAATACAGATTTCCAGGCCCCACTCCAGATCTATACAATCAACATCTGTAGAGGTGAACGTGCCCACCTGTGTTCCACAAGCCCTCCAGGTGCTTCTGGTTCATGCTCAAGTTTAAGAACCACTGGTTTTTTAGGAGGTGAGAGGATTGCCTGAGCCTATGGGTTCGAGACCAGCCTGGGCAGCTTGGTGAGACCTCATCTCTACAATAAATCAAAAAATTAGCTGGGCGTGGTGGTCCAGGCCTGTAGTTCCAGCTACTTGGAAGTCTGAGGTGGAAGAATGGCCTGAGTCCAGCAGGTTGACTCAAACAACAACAACAAAACCCCACTAGTCTAGGCCAGACGGGGTGGCTCACGCCTGAGATTCCAGCACTTTGGGAGGCCAAGGAGAGAAGATCACATGAGCCCAGGAATTCAAAACCAGCCTGGGCAACGTACCAAGACCTTGTCTCTACAAAACAGCAAACCATCACCTGAGTGTGGTGGCATGTGCCAGTCTCAGCTACTCGGTGGGAGGATCGCCTGAGTCCAGGAGGTCGAGGCTGCAGTGAGCCATGATTGTGCCACTGCACTCCAGCCTGGGTGACAGAGTGAGACCCCAACTCAAAAAAAAAACAAAAAAAAAAACCACCGGTCTAAACTGTCTGAGTACATCCAGGCCCCGCTGGACTAGGGCCTATGATTATTCTATTGGCAGAAGAAGAAACTGAGACACAGAATAGTTGAGTGACTTACCTAAGGTCACACAGCCAGGAAAATGAGACTGCCAGGACTCTACAAGTAAGCTGAATATTATGGGGAGGGGCCTCACTGGCCCGTCAGAGTCAAGCTGGAGCTACCCAGCCTGGGAAGCCAGCCACCATCCGCCCCTGTGCGGACAGAAGGCCAAGCTGCTCAGGAGGCAGAAACTCATTCTAGTACCCGCTGGCACAGCCTGTCACCTACACAGACCCTGGCTCGCAGACCGGCGGCCCCCTGAAGTGTCTGGAGCGGCCAGGAGTGGCTTAATTGGCAGGGGAACCGCCTCGCCCCGCGTCACACTGCCCTGTCCCGGGGCCGGGCCCCGCAGGAGCTTGGAGTTTACAGCCCTGGGGGCGGAGACTGTGATGGGGAACCAGGAAGACCCCAGGGAAGGCAGAGACACGGAGCGGAAGGAGCCTGGAAGAGGGGGGCGGTGGCCAGGAGGGAGCAGGGGACCCAGGGCAGCTCAAGCTCCGGAGAGAGAAAGCACAAGGCGCAGGTGCTCTCGCACACGCGGCCGCAGCCCTCGCGGGCTCTGGACGCCCTCGAGCATCTTCCCAGGGCCGGGTCCCCGGGCCGGGTCCCCGAGGAGCCAGACGGCCTCCGCCTCTTCGAGTCTCCCCAGCCTGCCATCCCAGGCAGCGGGAGGCCCAGGGGCTTGGGGCGCTGCCGGGCTCCTGGGGGAGGGTCCTCTCACCTTTTGCTGTCTTTCCTGTTCATGCCTCCCGGGCGGGGGGGAGGGCGGGGGTCTCGAAAGCAGGTGGCTCAGCTCCTCCCCTCGCCGGGGCTCCGCGTCCCCGCGGCCCCCAGGGAGCTGGGGCCTCCTTGGTGCCTGGGAAGGAAAGAGGAACTGCCCCTCCCCACCCACCCCCAGGCCAGGGGGAAGGAAGAGGCTGGGGAGAGACCAAAGGCCTCCTCCCCCACTCGGGGATCCCTTCGGGCTGAGGTTTCCGGTGCTGCCGGCCCCCACCCTCAGTCGCCCGCGGCGGGCTCCCTATCGCCCCATCTTCGCCTGGAGACCCGGCACTGTCCAACTCGAATAAAGGCAGGTTTTCTTTTTTTTTCGAGTATGACTAATATTTAGGCAGAAACACACTCAAAAGAAAAGTCTTCGTTTCTGCAAGGACGTGGTCGCGTATACAAGGCACAAAAGTTTAAGTGGAAATCCACAAGACCTAATGCTTTGTATATTTCTTCTTGTGTTGCTTTTTGTCCCAGTTTGGTTTTAATTTGTTAGTTTTAATTTTCCATTTGTACCCTGGGAAACATCTTCACTTAATACTTTTCTTGTGGTCAGGCGTGGTGGCTTACCCCTGTAATCTCAGCACTTTGGACCAGCACATTGGGAGGCAGAGGCGAGAGAATTGTCAGAGTCCAGGGGTTCAAAGCCAGCCTGAGCAACATGGTGAGAACTTGTCTCTACAAGAAATCAAAATATTAGTCCGGCCGGGCTCGGTGGCTCAGCCTGTAATCCTGCGCCTTTGGGAGGCTGAGGTGAGTGGATTGCCTGAGCCCGCGGGTTCGAGACCTGCCTGGGCAACTTGGCGAGACCTCATCTCCACAATAAATCAAAAATTAGCAGGGCATGGTAGCGCACGCCTGTAGTTCCAGCTACTTGGAAGGCTGAGGCGGAAGGATCGCCGGAGCCCAGCAGGTAGAGGTTGCGGTGGCCGGGAGCAGCCACTGCACTCCAGTCTGGGTGACAGAGTGAGACTCCAACTCAAAAAAAAAAAAAAAAAAAAAAAAAAATTAGTCCAGCGTGGTGGTGTGCAACTGTGGTTCCAGCTGCTTGGAAGGCTGAGGCGGAAGGATCGCCCAAGCCCAGCAGGTCGAGGCTGCGGTGGCCGTGAGCATGCCACTGCACTCCAGCCTGGGTGACAGAGTGAGACTCTGATTCAAAAAAAAAACAAAAACTTTTATTGTATTGCTCTACTTAAACTACTTAAACCTTTATGTAGCACCTACTGTGTACCACATACTGCTCCAAGGGCATTTAAAATATTAACTAATTCAATCCTCACACAACCTGCTGTTATTATAAAAACATTACAGATGGAGCGAAGCCCTCTGGGTGCTCCTCCCCACCCACTGTCCCTGTTAGGCAGGGGTGATATTTACATGTGTTGAGTTTCATACAGACCGCGTCTGTGCGTTTATGTACATCACATAAATGTGTGCTCACAGAAACACACTTTTCTTTTGAGTATGTGTTTGTTTCTTTTACCTAAATGTGTCATGTTTGACATTTTAAAAAACTGAAATGCAAAAAAAGAGCACGTTAAGTATTTCGGTTGATGAATTGTCACCAACTGAGCAAACCCATACGACATTCAGACAAATCAAGAAACAGAACATTCTCATCCTCCATCAGCTCCCAGCGCACCCCCCAAGACCTCCCAGAAGTTACTACCTGCCAGAAGTCCTGCAGAGCGGTTCTGTCTCTTTCTGAATTTATATAAGTGCACTCTGTGTCTGACTCCTTCCATGTGATACTTCCAGATTATTTTATTTGGTTACAGTTTATTCCTTTGCGTTGCTGTGGTATGCCAATTCCAGACTGATGTATTGATTCTCCCTTGAGGGACATCTGAGTTGTTTCCAGGCTGGGCCACTGTAAACATGTGAGTACCTGTCTTTTGGTGAGCTGGAGGCGTATAGTCCCGTGGGGGATCACCCAGAGACGGAATAAATGGGTCATCGTAGTTAGTACGATTCCACCAAACCTAATTTGCTAGTCAGTTCTACGAAACAGTTTTCTCAGAAGTAGATTTTTGCACCTTTCTTTTTTCACTAAGTCACCATGGCAATTTTTTTTCCACACCAGAACATGCAGGCAGCACAGAGCCCACTCTCTTGAGTTTTCTATCACATGATGTAGCCTAGTTTCAGAGCCTTTCTCTTACTGTCTCCTTCCCCTTCTCTCCCTGGGTCTCCTGACATGCTCTCTCTCTCTGTCTCTCTCAGCCCATCCCCTGCAACGCCTCCATCTCCAGGGTGTGATTAAGGATCCTGGCAGAGTCCAGAACTTGTGTGGGAGTGTCTCCATACCCTGGAGACCCAGAAAAATCTCGAGGAAGGAGGTCAGAAGGGCCCTGGCACCTGTCTATTCTGTGCTTAATTGAGTGCTTAATGGCCTTGGGATGGCCAGCAACACCAACAGTATCAACACCAGTGACCACAAAGGAAGAGACATTTGATCAAACCACAGAAACTCACAGGGCAGAAAATTGATGCATTTGATAACACACAGATACAAATGTTCTTTTAACGAGGATACCAAGGAACAAATATCAGATGACCGAAGGGGAAAAGGGCATTTGTAATGCTTAAAATCAATGAGAAATTAATATCCAGAATATAAAAGGAACAGCTGCAAATCAGCAAGAGAAGAAAGACAGTAACCCTGATAGAAAAGTGGGCAGAAGCCGGGCTCGGTGGCTCAGCCTGTCATCCCGCGCCTTTGGGAGGCTGAGGTGAGTGGATGGCCTGAGCCCGCGGGTTCGAGACTCGCCTGGGCAGCGAGACCTCATCTCTACAATAAATCAAAAAATCAGCCGGGCGTGGTAGCGCATGCCTGTAATTCCGGCTACTCGGAAGGCTGAGTCGAAAGGATCGCCGGAGCCCAGCAGGTCGAGGCTGCGGTGGCTGGGAGCGGCCACTGCACTCCAGTCTGGGCGACAGAGTGAGACTCCAACTCAAAAAAAAAAAAAAAAAAGAAAACTGGGCAGAGGGTACAACGAGCAGGTAACGAGGAGCCTGCAACCCCAACAGGCACCTGAGAAGGTGCTAGAAGCTGTCAGTAACTGATCAGGGACACGGATATCGTCATCTCAGAGAGGTCTGGCAAAAATTAGAAGTTGGAAAATGCCAAGTGGGGGTCGGGTGTGAGGACCCAGGGTCCCTCAGGCACAAGTGGAGCTGTTCCCGAGGGCACTACTTGGACAAGGTGCGTGCATGGGGACAGCACTCAACAATCGGTCCTGGGTGTGATGCCAAAACATTCTCTCTCAGCTCCATAAGGGACATATACATGGGTGTTCACTGCAACATTATTTTGGGAGAGCCGAAGGCAGCCTGGGTGTCCATACTCCGGTGGGTGGGTGGGCAAACAGAAGGGATCAGTCACCAAAGAGTCCTGCAAAGCCACCACAGCCGCACACCAGGTGTCCACAGAGCAACACGGGTAGGTCTTGAAACATAATGGTGACTGACAAAAATAAGAAACACTATTAATATCTTATGATAGAATGCACAATGACACAGAATATTTTTACATTGTATGTAAAATTTGGCCAGGCTCGGTGGCTCAGCCTGTAATCCCAGCACTTTGGGAGGTCGAGGCGAGTGGATTGCCTGAGCCCGTGGGTTCGAGACCCACCTGGGCAACTTGACAAGACCTTGTCTCTACAATAAATCAAAAACTAGCCAGGCGTGATAGCGCACGCCTGTAGCTCCAGCTACTTGGAAGGCTGAGGCGGAAGGATGGCCGGAGTACAGCAGGTTGAGGCTGCAGTGGCTGGGAGAGTGCCACTGCACTCCAGTCTGGGCGACAGAGTGAGAATCTGACTCAAAAATAAAAATAAAATTAAAAAATACATTGTATGTAAAATTTTAGGCCTAGCACAGTGGCTTACAGTGGCTTCTTGGGAAGCTGAGACAGAAGGATCGCCTGAACCCAGGAGGTCAAGGCTGCGGCAGGCCGTGATTGTGCACTGTACTCCAGCCTAGGCAACAGAGAACCTGACTCAAAAAATAAGCAAATAAAAATTATAAAAAATTTAAATTTGGCCAGGCTCGGTGACTCAGCCTGTAATTCCAGCACTTTGGAAGGCCGAGGTGAGTGGATTGTCTGAGCCCGTGGGTTCAAGACCAGTCTGGGGAATTTGGAGAGACCCCGTTGCTACAATAAATCAAAACTTAGCTGGGCATGGTAGTGCTCCCCTGTAGTTCCGGCTATTTAGAAGGCTGAGGTGGAAGGATCGCCTGAGCCCAGCAGGTTGAGGCTACAGTGGCTGAGAGACATGTCACTGCCCTCCAACCTGGGTGACAGAGTGAGACTCCAAATCAAAAAGAAAAATTAAATTTAAGGACAAACTACTTACTATATAATTATGTGATATATAATATGTAATAGATATAACTTGATTATATATATGGTATATTAGTCTTAATATATAAGTATATAATTATGCATTATGTAATGTTGAATATATACTATGTATATACAATATGATACAAATGTATGTGCTATTTATTGCAATTGTATTAAAATATCAATATTTAACTATGTAACACCTAGAAATCCTCTACACATTGAACATTTGTATGGAATTTTGTTGAACTGTAGGATATTGTTTTATATAACTTAATATATACCACCACATATTAATAATAATAATTTTTTTTGAGTCGGAGTCTCACTCTGTCACCCAGGCAGGAGTGCAGTGGCACACGTACAGCCACTTCAGCCTCCACCTGCTTGGTTCAGGTGATCCTTCCTGACTCCGCCATCCAAGTAGCTGTAACTACACGTGTGCACCACCACACCCGGCTAATTTTGATTTATTGTAGAAACAAGTTCTCACCATGTTGCCCAGACCTGGTCTCGAACCCATGGGCTCAGGCAAACCTCTCGCCTCGGCCTCCCAAAATGCTGGGATTACAGGCATGAACCACCATGCCTGGCAATAATAATTTTTTTTTTTTGAACTGGAGTCTCA